ATTCGCAGTACCTTCACTAACTGATAACTGATAAAGAACACCTTTGCCACACAATGCCTTTCTGAAATAACCCGGGCAGCACCGGGTACCCAAGCTAGTGATAAATAAAAGCAGAATGTATTGTCAGTCCTCTTTATTTAATGGTTTCCTATTAAAGGATTTAAAAAAAGTCAAGTAGCATATACAAAAATAAACATAACACAATTAAATTAACAATCTGTTAACAAAAGGCTCAAAGAACAAGTAAGGAGAAATTGTAAATTCTGCCCATGCTGTAGTACCTATTTGTGAGGATGGATCAGACTGTGAACACAACCTACTGGAGGAAGCAGTTGGAGAACAGCACTTAAAAATCAGAAACTGGACTGCATGGTGGAAATCGGGAGAATAAGGCAGGGAGCTTTGCATGTCAGTACAGAGCAAGCAATATCGAGCACCACTTCACCATTCACTGTATATTTGATATTAACGTGTGGGAGAGTTACTACAGTTGACAGGTTTCCACTTGAAGCGGGGGTCTGGGCTGACTGTCACAGTGGGAGCTCACAACAGAAGATGTCAGATTACTACAAGGCAACTGGCAAAAAAAGGAAGCCGTCTCTATGGACAGAGATCACATTAATATTGCACATCTCCATGGAAGAGGGGGAGTTTAGGTGAAAGTAGACTGCTTTGCTCTCAGCCTCTCCATTCTTGCCGGAAGAAGGCCGGCCATTTCTCGGCTGAGCTCCAGCTCCGTTTCAACACACTGGGCGGCGTCTGCATGCTTCTCACAGTACTCAACAAGGAAGGAGTAGTTATCTAATGAGGCCTGCATGTTCTCCAATTGCTTCTTGCCATCGGAAGTAATAAACTTGCCATAAAGGCGTGCAATATGGAATTTGGCCACCAATGCTGGGCGAAGGACATCCTCCTCGAGGGTCTCAGGGAAAACCTTATCGGGGTTCCTCAGCGAATCCAAAAAGAGCTCGTAGTATTTCATTGCCATCTGAGCGAGAGAATTTATTTTCTTTATGGTATGGGAGTCAAGCTCCTCTAGCCTATTGCCAATGGCCACTTTCAGATCCATCATTTCATAGTAAGTATCTGCGAGTTCAAACAGAAGCTGCCTCCTGAGCAGCAGGTAATACTGAGGGTTTAAGCCCGTATACAGGGGCTCCAGCATATCGATCCTACGCTTGTGCATCTTGCAACGCCTCTCATAATCTTCTTCAAAGAAAGCCAGGACCTTGAACAAGGCACTGTGGTCCTGAACAATCTCAATGTGGTCAGTGACATACCCATCTACCTGAAAGAACTCTTTTGCGTCATTGACATAATTTTGGCCCACTAAGAAGACCTCCCTGGCTTCTTTGAAGTCTAATGGGAACACACAGCTCACTTTCTCTTCCATGGCCAAAATAGAGTCACACAAATCGCTGGTTCCAAAGAGAACAGCCTTCTTCCTGCCCTTCTCCTTCTCGTCCTCCTCTTTTTTCTGCTGGGCTCTCAGCTCCGACTGCCTGTCTGGATCCAGTTCACCAATGTTGTCCTAAAACAATAATAAATAATAATAAAACTTTATTTATACCGCGCTCCATCTCCCCCAGGGAGACTCGGTGCGGCTTACATGAGGCCACACCCATCAGTACAATACACACAACATAATACAAAAGCATAGCAAAACCAGAAAATAAAATATATAAAATAGAAAACCAATATACCGTATATACTCGAGTTTAAGCTGACCCGAATATAAGCCGAGGCACCTAATTTTACCACAAAAACTGGGAAAATGTATTGACTAGTGCAGGGGTCCCCAAACTACGCCCCACCGAGGGCATCTATCCGGTCCGCGGGCTGTGGAGAAGGGTGAGAGGCGGGCAAAGGGGGAGGGAGGCGGCGGGCGAAGGGGGGGAGACCGCGGGCAAAGCGGCTTGGGCCCGCTTTGCCCTCCGCCTCCGTGGGCCCAGGCTCTCCTGCCTTCGGGATGCGGCCTCGCCACATCCCGGGGCAGGAGAGGGTGTCCCCTGACCTTAAATCCAGTCATGTCCAACCCTAGGATTCTGCTGCTCATCTCCATTTCTAAGCCGAAGAGCCAGTGTTGTCCATAGACACCTCCAAGGTCATGTGACCGGCATGACTGCATGGAGCGCCCTTACCTTCCTGCCGGAGCGGTATCTATTGATCTACTCACATTTGCATGTTTTCAAACTGCTAGGTTTATATTAATTCTAAACTGCTAAGTTTATATTTGTTAAAATAGTTCTTCATTTGAATTATTGTATCATTTAAAGGGTTTTTTGCACTACAAATAAGATATTTGAGGTGTCGATAGGAATTCATTCATGTTTTTTTTTTCAAATTATAATCCGGCCCTCCAATAGTTTGAGGGACTGTGACCCGGCCCTCTGTTCAAAACGTTTGGGAACCCCTGGACTAGAGTATAAGCCGAGGGTGGGAAATGCAGCATTTATGGGTCAATTTCAAAATAAAAATAGATACCAATAAAATTATCTTTATTTAGGCATCAGTAGGTTAAATGTTTTTGAATATTTACATAAAACTGTAATTCAAGATAAGACTTTACCAACTCTGATTATTCTTGGCTATCACTAGTATGCAGCCTTTGTAAGAGTTGCCATTAGAAAACACATCTATTGAGATGAAAAATGAGAGCTTGAAAATTTTACTTGTTATTACTACAAGTCCCAGAATCCCCCAGACAATAGGGGGATTCTGAGCATTGTCACCAAAAGGCTCACAGCATCCCACTATACAATTAATGCAGTTAGACCCCACCTTAACTGCTGTGGCTCATTGCTATGGAATCCTGGGAGTTGTAGTTTTACAAGGTTTTTAGCCGTCTCTGCCAAAGAATGATGGTGCCTCACTCAACTACACTTCCCAGGATTCCAAAGAGGAGAATGAATTGGTTTCTAATTTGGTCCACGCTCTTGTTACATCTAGGATAGACTACTGCAATGCACTCTATGTGGGGTTGCCCTTGAAGACTGCTCGGAAGCTTCAAATAGTACGAGAGGCAGCCAGGTTAATAACTGGGGCGGCATACAGGGAGCATACAACTCCCAAGTTACGTCAGCTCCACTGGCTGCCAGTTTGCTACCGGGCACAATTCAAAGTGCTGGTTTTGGCCTATAAAGCCCTAAACAACCCTGGCCCAAACTACCTGTCCGAACGCATCTCCCCCTATGAACCATCGCAGAGATTAAGATCCTCCGGGGAGGCCCTGCTTTCCATCCCGCCATTGACACAGGACAAGAGACAGGGCCTTCTCGGTGATTGCTCTCCAGCTATGGAACTCCCTTCCTGGTGAGATCAGGTCAGCCCCCTCTCTCCTGTCCTTTAGAAGGATGGTAAAAACTTGGCTGTGGGATCAAGCTTTCAGGACAGGGCAATAAAGCAGCAATAGGAAAGATGACCAGGCCAATTGGATTTGACACGGATGACTAGGACAGTTTTAAATAGTGTACTTTAGTATTTTGATAAATGTTTTTAATGTTTATGTATTGTATGTGAATTTGTGTCCCGGCATTGAATGTTTGCCATGTATATGCTGTGCTCCACCCTGATTCCCCTCAGGGTGAGAAGGGGCGGAATATAAATGTTTTAACTAAATAAATAAATAAATAAATTTGAGTGAAGGAAAATGGAAAATTAATTCAAAAAGAGAGAAGCAATGTAGAGATAGCAAGTCAAAGGCAACCCACCTATCAATATATGAGCATAAAACAAAAGCAAACAGTTCTTTAATTACTACATTTGAACTGTACTGATTGAGCTTTAGAGAGCTGGTGAGGCTGCTGTGTCGGACTGGATGAGGGCTAACAAATTGAATGAATCCAGACAAGACAGAGGTCCTACTGGTCAGTCGTAAGGCCGAACAGGGCATAGGGTTACAGCCTGTGTTAGACAGGGTTACACTCCCCCTGAAGACGCAGGTTCGCAGCTTGGGAGTGATCCTGGATTCATCGCTGAGCCTGGAACCTCAGGTCTCAGCGGTGGCTGGGAGAGCTTTTGCACAATTAAAACTTGTGCGCCAGCTGCGCCCGTACCTTGGGAAGTCAGATCTGGCCACGGTGGTCCACGCTCTTGTCACATCCCGGTTGGATTACTGCAACGCACTCTACGTGGGGTTGCCTTTGAAGACTGCTCGGAAACTTCGATTAGTCCAGCGAGAAGCAGCCAGATTGCTCACCGGAGCGGCGTACAGGGAGCATACCACCCCCCTGTTGCGCCAGCTCCACTGGCTGCCGATCCAATTCCGAGCACAATTCAAAGTGCTGGTTTTGACCTACAAAACCCTATACGGTTCCGGCCCAGTGTATCTGTCCGAACGGATCTCCCTCTACGTCCCACCTCGTAACCTAAGATCTTCTGGGGAGGCCCTGCTCTCGACCCCGCCTCTATCACAAGTGAGATTGGCGGGGACGAGGAGCAGGGCCTTCTCGGTGGTGGCCCCCCCCTGTGGAATTCACTCCCCGGGGAGATTAGATTCGGCGACTTCCCTTCTGGCGTTCAGGAAAAAACTGAAGACCTGGATATGGGACCAAGCCTTTGGACATTCTGGCAGCTAAAGTAAAGATCTAACGATAAACAAGGACAGATGGAATGGAATGGATATATGGACTCTGAACACTGAGCATGAGATTGTTTTGTATTAATGTTTTTAACCTGTTAATTGTTTAAATTGCTTTTATGTATTGTTTGTTTAATTGATTTAGGCATCGAATTGTGCCTTCGTTTGTAAGCCGCCCTGAGTCCTCCCTCGGGGGTGAGAAGGGCGGGGTAGAAGTAATTGAAATACAAGCCAGCAACAGAAACAATGACATTTTGGAATTGTGAAACAACATGAGTTCCTGGTGAAGGGGGCGCAAACTAAAGGTAAGGGGAAGGGGGTGAACGGTATAATAATAATTATAAAGAAATAAGACAAATAAAAGGTGTGTAATGGAGTTATACGTAGTATAAGCTGTAATGGAAATTTAAAAATAATGATAAAATATGCTTAAAGATGTTTTTGATTTTTTTTTACTGTTAGATTGTATATAATATGAAATACTCTTTTGTCTAAAATATTTTAAAAAGACGGAAGAATGTATGCTTATACATTTTGTTTGACGATGTTTAAAAATTAAGAATTGGAAAAAAAAATAAAGCATTGCTTCCTACTGAAAAAAAAGCATTGTGTCATGGAAAATAAAGTGGTTCCAAACTGCACTAAGACTACAGTGTAGATGCAAGCACAGTCACACAAATCTCTGAGATTAACTGCTATTGCAAATATTAAAATGAATACTTGTGCTTATCCCTTGATTACCTCAAGCAACTTTCGGGCTCCCTGCAACAAATTCAGGCAGTATTTGATCCAACATCTTGCAATTTCAGCTTTTCTCTGTCGAAGGTCTTGTTGATCTTGTTCTGTCTCATCTGTTTTAAAAATAACACAAATGTAATCCATATCAAAATTCTGGAAAACCCTTTTTCCAGGATAGGAGACTATAAGCCACTATAAGTTCCTAGAAAAGGGCACAAAATGAAAAACAATTATCTGTGTTATAATAAATTAGCTATAGGGAAGATTACCATTTATTTAAGAGCTATGATTCTAAAGATCTTTTAAGTTGTAAAAAGGACCAAACAACTTTAAGAAGATATGATATTTATTTTATGTTGAACAGAGACAAGATGTATGGATATTTTGAACTGTTTTTATAAAATAATTAAAATCACTGCTTGCATTACGTGTACTGAACATAGATATAAACAGACATTGATAATACAAATTACTGTATATACTCAAGTATAAGCCTAGTTTTTCAATCCTTGTTTTAGGCTGAAAAAGTCTCCCTCGACTTATACTCAAGTCAAAGTTATTTATTATTTTACTCTGTCATTGTTGTTGTTGTTATTACATTTATTATTTTACTCTATTATTATAGTTATCATTTTACTTTATTATTATTCCATTTATTATTTTATTTTATAAGTGTTATCATTAAATTTATTATTTTACTCTATGATTGTTATTATTACATTTAACCCTATTATTTTATTATTGCATTTATTATTTTACTCTATGATTGGAAGCACATTTACATTGAAGAGAATAATGGTTTAATCAGAGTTGGACAGTCTTATCTTATATTACAATTCTATATAAACATTCAAAAACATTTAACCTACTGATGCCTCAATTAATGTAATTGTATTGGTATCTATGTTTATTTTGAAAGTGATCAGTAGCTGCTGCATTTCCCACTTAAGTGACTCGGCTTATATTCGGGTCGGCTTATACTCGAGTATATACGGTATATCAAGAGCACAGATGCAACCACCAGCTTTGTACATATTTCTTCTAAATTCAAACCAAAAAAGGTTAATTCCCTCTTAGAATATGCTCTTTTACACTCATCGCTCTACTCCCCCTGCTTTCGTCTTGTAATTTAATCCCACTTTACCAAATTTATTATTTCATCAAGTATTATTGTGTTTTAATTTATTTTAGTTAACTATTACTAGAGTTTCAGCATAGTGATTAGTGTCTATTTGTCTGTGTATTTTTGTTTTTGTCTGTTATTGTTGATATGGTCAGTGGAGTAATCAATAAACAGAGCTATCTATCTTAGCATAAGCAGAGCAGTAACCCTGATTCTGCACCACAAGAGCAGCAGAGCAATGCAGCCTTATTTACTTGGGAGAATTTATACTCTTTCGGGGAGCGGCAAGAGCTTCTGCTGTCAGCCCCAGCTTCTGCCAACCTAGCAGTATGAAAATATGCAAATGTGAGTAGATCAATAGGTACCGCTCCAGCGGGAAGGTAACGGCGCTCCATGCAGTCATGGCCACATGACCTTGGAGGTGTCTACGGACAACGCTGGCTCTTCGGCTTAGAAATGGAGATGAGCACCACACCCCAGAGTCAGACATGACTGGACTTAATGCCAGGGGACAACCTTTATCTATTTCAAAAACTAGCCGTCCCCTGCCACGCGTTGCTGTGGCCCACATGGGGGTTCTGTGTGGGAGGTTTGGCCCAATTCTATCGTTGGTGGGGTTCAGAATGCTCTGTGATTGTAGGTGAACTATAAATCCCAGCAACTACAACTCCCAAATGTCAAGATTCTATTTTCCCCAAACTCCACCAGTGTTCACATTTGGGCATATTGAGTATTTGTGTACAGTTTGGTCCAGATCCATCATTGTTTGAGTCCACAGTGATCTCTGGATGTAGGTGAACTACAACTCCAAAACCAAAGGACACTGCCCACCAAACCCTTCCAGTATTTTCTGTTGGTCATGGGAGAACTGTGTGCCAAGTTTGGTTAAATTCCATCATTGGTGGGGTTCAGAATGCTCTTTGAATGTAGGTGAACTATAAATCCCAGCAACTACAACTCCCAAATGACAAAATCAATTTTTTGAGTGAAGGACATACATTGTATTGTTAGGTGTCTTGTGTCCAAATTTGGTGTCAATTCGTCCAGTGTTTTTTGAGTTCTTTTAATCCCACAAACGAACATTACATTTTTATTTACATAGATATTCTAACCGGTGCCCTCAAAGCAGCTTATAAGATGTTCACAACAACAAAAGAGACCAGAGTCATTAGGAGAGTGAATGACAGGAGAAGTCAAAGTGCTGATTTTAAATACTTCCTTCGATCCTTAGGACCTTCTACTTTATGTAGAAAACCAGGGCTCTTTGCTGAATTGTGGCCTCATCTATTTTTTTTCCTCCACATCAATGGAATTAATGTGACCGATCAATGGAATTAATGTGATAGGGAATGAAGAGGGAAAGTAATTACTAAAACTATGTAGAGAGAGCAAAGCATCCACTCTTACCCAATTAATTATAATGGGATGACTTACTGTCCTCCGAAGATGGCACCTGCCCAGCCTGGCTGAAGATGACATTGGCAGAAGCTAAACAATGCCTGGATTCCATGAAACATTGCTGTGGAGAGAAAACAGGCTGACATGTCTTCTTGGCACAGAACAGCCTACATATTTCACTTAATTATAGAGTCTTGAACATTACTGTTCTGAAACTGGATATCCAAAAGTGTTGCCAATAAAGGGACAAGTAAGATGAATTAATAACACTGCACAACAGGAAATCTAAAAATGACATACTGTATATACTCGAGTATAAGCCTAATTTTTCAGTCCTTTGTTTAGGCTGAAAAAGTCTCCCCCGGCTGAGTCAATAATATTTATTATTTTACTTTGTTGTTGTTATTATTATTATTACATTTATTATTTTATTATTGTTATTATTATTTTACTTTATTTATTATTGTTATTACATTTATTATTTTACTCTTATTATTGGAAGGATATGTAAGCACATTTACATTGAAGAAGGTTAGAATAATGGTTTAATCAGAGTTGGACTGTCTTATCTAAGGCCAGAGAAGCAGATGGCGGAAACAGAAGAACGGCCTGCCTCAGGGGAGCGTGCTTGCTCTATCCATGTTCAACATCTACACAAATGACCAGCCACTGCCAGAAGGGACAGAGAGTTTCATCTATGCTGATGATCGTGCCATTACTGCTCAAGCAGGGAGCTTTGAGATGGTTGAACAGAAGCTCTGAAGCTCTAGGTGCTCTTACTGCCTATTACAGGGAAAACCAGCTGATCCCTAATCCATCTAAAACACAGACATGTGCCTTTCACCTTAAGAACAGACAAGCATCCCGAGCTCTGAGGATTACCTGGGAAGGAATCCCACTGGAGCATTGCAGCACCCAAATACCTGGGAGTCACTCTGGACCATGCTCTTACCTACAAGAAGCACTGCCTGAACATCAAGCAAAAAGTGGGTGCTAGAAACAATATCATACGAAAGCTGACTGGCACAACCTGGGGATCACAACCAGACACAGTGAAGACATCTGCCCTTGCGCTATGCTACTCTGCTGCTGAGTATGCATGCCCAATGTGAAACACATCTCACCACACTAAAACAGTGGATGTGGCTCTTAATGAGACATGCCGCATTATCACGGGGTGTCTGCCCTACACCACTGGAGAAATTACACTGCTTAGCCGGTATTGCACCACCTGACATCCGCTGGGAAGTAGCAGCCAATAGTGAAAGGACCAAGCAGAGACATCTCCAGCTCATCCCTTGTTTGGGTATCAGCCAGCACGTCAACGACTTAAATCAAGAAATAGTTTTCTTAGATCTACAGAGACACTCGCTGGAACACCTCAGCAAGCGAGAGTCCAAAAGTGGCAGGCTCAAACCCAGCACCTCAACCAATGGCTGATACCAAATGAGAGACTCCCCCCTGGGCACACAGAAGGCTAGGTGACTTGGAAGGCACTGAACAGACTGCTCTGGCACCACGAGATGCAGAGCCAACCTTAAGAAATGGGGCTACAAAGTGGAATCCACAACATGCGAGTGTGGAGAAGAGCAAACTACAGACCACCTGCTGCAATGCAACCTGAGCCCTGCCACATGCACAATGGAGGACCTTCTTGCGGCAACACCAGAGGCACTCCAAGTGGCCAGATACTGGTCAAAGGACATTTAATCAACTACCAAGCTTGCAAACTCTCGTGTCTTTTGTATGTTTGTTTGTTTGCTCTGTCAAAAATGTAACACAACTGTTTGGTTGCCTGAACACGATAAATAAATTAAAAATCTTTTATAAGCATCCAAGTCCCCCTCAAAAGAAAGACAAAGCTGCCATCACAAATTGGAGGCATAATCTTCCATGTGCCTTCCAGCTTCTTAGCTAGAACAATTCATTTCCTGTTTATACTGTTGGCTAACAATTGTGTTTACATCTGTAAATGCCAGTATTGTCATAGTTATGCAATCAAATTTTTATACAAAAGGAAATCTTGATATATTCAAATAGCAGTAGATGCATACAGCCACTTCCCTAAATGACAGTTTACAATGTACTGATTTCTTTAAATGTAAGAGTTGTTTGTAATGCAGAGTTTAATGACCCATGTACCTAGACGCATTTCTGAGAATGGATTGATATACATATTTTAGATGTGAACCTATTTTGGGACCATAAAAAACTAAGCAGTTTTGGAAGAGGCTGTACCTCCCAACAATAGAAGAATTTATGGTTAAAGTCTTTCTAATTGCAGAAATGGACAAATTAGCAATAGTGAACAAAGAAAAAACACAAAAAACTTCATCAAGGTCTGGGAGCCATTTCTAAACATTGTTTAAAAAAAGAAAGAGGGAAAGGTTTTTATAGAAGGTTTCATAATTTAATCTGTTGCAATATGTGTAAGGGATTTATGAACAACTAGCTGTACCCTGCCACGCGTTGCTGTGGCCCAGTCTGTTGATCTGGGAAATAAAATAATGTGAAAGTGTTGGTTTCTAATATATGTAATGTCTTTATGCTTGTGGGTAAACAGTATTTCTTGCTATTTCTTTGTCAGTGTTGATGTGGAGATTGTCTGGTTTGCCTACTCTGGAACAGGCAGGATATCATAGTCCTTCTTTAGGGGTCCCTTTCAAATCTATGATACTATATCTGTCATGTGTGTGTGTGAATCATATCTATCTATCTATCTATCTATCTATCTATCTATCTATATCTATGGCTGGATGGCTCTTTGTCAGGAGGGCTTTGATTACGTTTTCTTGCCCTGATGAAGGGAGTTGGACTGGATGGCCTTAAGTATTTTCTGTTGGTCATGGGGGTTCTGTGTGGGAAGTTTGCCCCAATTCTGTCGTTCGTGGGGTTCAGAATGCTCTTTGATTGTAGGTGAACTGTGAATCCCAGTGACTACAACTCTCAAATGTCAAGGTCTATTTCCCCCAAACTCCATCTGTGTTCATATTTGGGCGTATTGAGTGCTTGTGCCAAGTTTGGTCCAGATCCATCATTGTTTGAGTCCACAGTGCTCTCTGGATGTAGGTGAACTACAACTCCCGAACTCAAGGTCAATGCCCACCAAACCCTTCCAGTATTTCTGTTGGTCATGGGAGTTCCGTGTGCCAAGTTTGGTTCAATTCCATCATTGGTAGATTCAGAATGCTCTTTGATTGTAGGTGAACTATAAATCCCAGCAACTACAACTCCCAAATGACAAAATCATAATTTTTTGAGTGATGGTCACTCCTTGTGTTGTGAGATGTTTTGTTGCCAAATTTGGTGTGATTTCGTTCATTGGTTCTTTTGTTTTTAAGGTACTCATTATGCACAGAGCATTTTTATATATATAAATAAGAATCAGGCGAGAAGGAAGAATGGAAAAATAATGTAATCAAAAGGAGGAAAGAAATTATATATGAATGTCTCCAACCCAAGGGAGGTGAAGTCATCAAAATGGGAGGGGTGGGAGGAGGGGAGGGTTGTCAGGAGTCAATTTCTGATGGCATGAAGACATCACAAATTCTCTCCGTAACATCCTGACTGAATCATCCTGGCTAACTCAATTCTCTCTGTGTGACATTTTGAAGCCAGCTGAGGGCGCTGGAAACCTTGTATTGGAACTTGTGAAGCAACAAGTTCTAATAAGGAAACTGAGAAGAGAGGGGGAGATGGGCAGGAAAGGTGTATAAAAGGAAGTGGTGGTGGGAAAAAGTCAGTAGTGTCTTTCTTTGCTGCAGAGATACAAGCAATATATCCATTTCAAAGCAAAACCGGCTTGTGAGTGGTTATTTAATATTGCTATATAGATCCTACAGTCTTATGATCAATTATTTTTGTACAAAACACAAGAAATGCTATTGTCGAAGGCTTTCATGGCTGGAATCACTAGGTTCTTGTGGGTTTTTTGGGCTATAGAGCCATGTTCTAGAGGCATTTCTCCTGACGTTTCGCCTGCATCTATGGCAAGCATCCTCAGAGGTAGTGAGGTCTGTTGGAATTAGGACAATGGGTTTATATATCTGTGGAATGGCTGGGGTGGGGGAAAGAGCTCTTCTCTGTATACCATGCAGCTGTGGACAAGTCTACATAGGGACCACCAAACGCAGCGCCCAAACACGAATCAAGGAACATGAAAGGCACTGCAGACTACTTCAACCAGAGAAGTCAGCCATAGCAGAGCACCTGATGAACCAGCCTGGACACAGCATATTATTTGAGAACACAGAGGTGCTGGACCACTCCCAACAACCACCATGTCAGACTACACAGAGAAGCCATTGAAATCCACAAAGCATGTGGACAATTTCAACAGAAAGGAAGAAACCATGAAAATGAACAAAATCTGGCTACCAGTATTAAAAAACTCTAAAATTACAACAGCAAAACAGCAGAGAGGAAACAACCAGGCACATCTTAACACCTCCCAGCAACAGATTTTCCCAGGCTCAGGCAGGCCTTCAAATGCCAATGAAGGTGGTCAGCTAAACATTCACACCTAGCTGCAGCAGGGAAGAGCTCTTTGCCCCACCCCAGCCGTTCCACAGATATATAAACCCATTGTCCTAATTCCAACAGACCTCACTACCTCTGAGGATGCTTGCCATAGATGCAAGCGAAACGTCAGGAGAAATGCCTCTAGAACATGGCCTATAGCCCGAAAAAACCCACAAGAACCTAGTAATATGAATATTGTATAGATGTTAGGTAGTATTGTATCGGTTTATGTATATATACATGCATATAGATTTGTTTCATTGTTTTATGAATATTTAAATTGAAAATTAAAAAACCACAAATTATAGTAAAAAAAAACTAAACACAGACATCTCTCAGAAATCCAATAATCAATCCTTCTACAAACACTCAAAAAACAAACCAGTGCTGAATCATCCCTTGCGAGGAATAAGGAGAAACATTTTTTTTCATTTCTAAGACATTTGACAACATTTAGAATTTGAAATATCTTAATATCTAATTTTTATGTAACTTGCTTCATGCAAGCTTTGCAAATACATTAAAAGAATACAAAGGAATTAGACAGAAGTGATACTTTCAAGGCAAACCTGGAACATGCCAGAGTTGATAACCTAACTTTTAAATCAATTTTGTGTATGCCCTGTTAGTAATCTGCTACCTAGAGCTTTTTTGAAGTTGACAGGACATGAAGTAAAGAAATGTTGTAGTAGTTAAAACGTTATCAGTTGTGGGAGCATAGTAATCCAAGGATGCAATACCAAAACAGGTGAGTCCGTCTTCACAGTGGGCTCTTATTTCTAAAATCTTGCATGCCTATATGCAGAGATCTGGGAATCTCTTCCCACAGCAAAGTACATGTAATTCTCCTCTGTGGCTCCCCAACTTTGGAACTCTTTATCTGGAGAGATCAGGAAATCCCCTTCACTAGAAATGTTTAAAAAGAACCTTAAAACCTGGCTCTTCCGCTACGCCTTTGGTGAGTAGTTGCACACAATGACTTTTTGCACCCCTCAACATTTTTGTTACAGGAGCTCGCAGCCCCCAAATGGGAAGCTTAGCCTTACAACTCTATGTGTTTTATAAGTTCCTCGTAACTGTCCTGCTCCTATTTTATCTCATTACAGTCTTTTAATTGTTTTATCCTGTATATGCGGCACGCCCATTGTTATCATTATTGTGATTGTGTTTATTAGAATGTTGTTTTATGACTGCGTTTTTTAATGTAATTTTGATGATGTTGTTGTTCTTTGTTGTTTATGCTTTGATTTTATTGCTGTAATATGTTGTCCGGGCTTGCCCCCATGTAAGCCGCTCCAAGTCCCCACTGGGGAGATGGTGGCGGGGTATAAATAAAGATTATTATTATTATTGTCGAAGGCTCCACAGATATATAAACCCTTTTTCCTACTTCCAACAGACCTCACTACCTCTGAGGATGCTTGCCATAGATGCAGGCGAAACGTCAGGAGAGAATGCCTCTTGACCATGGCCATATAGCCCGAAAAAACCTACAACAACCCATTATTATTATTATTATTATTATTATTAAAGCCCTTTAAAATAGGCAATGGTGTGGACCTATTGCCTGTTTCCGGCAGAAGGACTACTACCAGGGTGATATCTGCCTATTCGTTCCCCCTCCAACACCACCTTTCATGTTGTCCAGATGACTTCCTAATCCTGTGGAGCAGATCTCTGGGATGGAGCTGCAGGGATGGGCAGAAATAGGCAAAACCAAATTCCTATTCATTCCTGTTAACGAGAAATGCTCCAGAAGGCCAAAAGCCTTATTTATATGAACATTCTGTCCATCAAAAACAAGATCTGGAGCCAAAGTACTTTAGTTGGCCTTTGACTTTGCTGATCTCAACAGGGCTGAGACTCGATCAATGCTGTGACACTCTATATGTTACTGACCTCCATTCCCATCAAGGCCAATCAGCTCACACAACACTGTAGGATAATAGGCACAGTGGTTCCTAAAGAGATAAAGTGCTATAGTTTCCTAACATGAGTGTAGATGCAACCCATTCCCTGACAATACAAATCACATGACAGGTATAAAAGTAAATTAGATGGATGGAAGAACATTTAAATAATTACCTTTGTGAGATAATATTGGGACAAGGTAGCTGCATTGAAAGCCCATTCTACTGGGTAGTAGCCACTATACTCAAGCTGCCGTTTGAGGGTAGAATGGCAGTACTGTGCAGCCTTCTCAATCATTTCCAGATGTTGGTAGACTTGAGCCAAATAATACAGCGTATGAGTATAGACCTTTTCAAATCTGAGGAAACAGGGTTTTCAGGTTTAATTTTAAAAGAGATGACCACCCAACCACCCCAATTCCAACTTCGGCTTCAGTGAACACAGACCTTTTTGATCTTTCTTGATCAGAAAGCTTCTCTTCTTCAGTCATAAAATGCTCACTGGAATCAAGCGGAGGGTTTCCATTCTGCAAAACACAACATACAGTTAAGATAATCTATACAGGAAATTTCCGCTCTACTAGTTGCATGTTAGTTCCGCTCCGATAGAAAAATAAAAAGCACTAATAGGAAAGTTGCACTCATTCAAAAAAGCTGGCTCCATCCTCCATGAGCCCCAGCCAAGTGTTTTGGGATTATTAAATATGTAGCCCAACATTGCCGGGGAGCCGTGGATTCGCCTCCTTTTCTTCCAATGAAGCACCTTAATAGCTCCCGAAAGTATTTGTATTCCACAAAACAAGTGCCAAGAACATCTGAGGCAATTAACTCTGTTGACTTATTAAAACATAGTCTGCATATGGCCAAACAATGATTATGCAAACCTAACTATACTTCTACAAGATTTTACTCTCCATACACAAAATTGTTCTTGAAATAGCAGAAATGCAATCCATTACTTTGAGAGTGATTTTTTAAATGTTTCAATAAAAGTAAGAGTATAGCAACAAAGACTTTTGAGTTCTTGTAAGTTTTTTCAGGCTATATGGCCATGGTCTAGAGGCATTCTCTCCTAATGTTTCGCCTGCATCTATGGCCACAGATATATAAACCCTTTTCCTAGTTCCAACAGACCTCACTACCTCTGAGGATGCTTGCCATAGATGCAGGCGAAATGTCAGGAGAGAATAACTCTAGACCAGGGATCCACAAACTTTTTAAACCAAGGGCCAGGTCACAGTCCCTCAAACTGTTGAAGAGTCAGATTATAATTTGGGGAAAAATGAATTAATTCCTATGCACACTGCACATATCTTATTTGTAGTGCAAAACACTTAAATCAATACAATAATTAAAATGAAGAACAATTTTAACAAATATAAACTTAGTATTTCAATGGGAAGTGTGGACCTGCTTTTGGCTGATGAGATAGGATTGTTGTTGTTGTGTGCTTTCAAGACGTTTCAGACTTAGGTTGACCCTGAGCGGGGGCCGGGTAAATTATCTTGGAGGGCCGTATCCGGCCCCCGGGCCTTAGTTTGAGGACCCCTGCTCTAGACAATGGCCATATAGCCCGAAAAAACCTACAACTCAGTGATTCCGGCCATGAAAGCCTTCAACAATACAGAGACTTTTGACATCATTAAGCATTTACTATTCTCAAACAAGAGTTGTTATAACAAGATACAAAAGATAAAAGTAGGAGAATCAACCCATGCAGGTATATTTATGACTAACCGTCCCCTGCCACGCGTTGCTGAGGCCCAGTCTGTTTATATGTGCTTTGTGTGTGTATATATATTTGTGTAGTTGTCCGGATGCCTGACCACCGGATGTCTCCCAAAGCAGTTGCTCTATCCCGAACTCAAGAATGGAAAATGGAATGTTGGAGGACAGGAAAAGAGATTTAAGGTTGGGCTCAAAGCCAACCTTAAAAACTCTGGCATAGACACTGAGAACTGGGAAGCCCTGGCCCTTGAGCGCTCTAGATGGAGGTCAGCTGTGACCAGCAGTGCTGTAGAATTTGAAGAGGCACGAATGGAGGGCGAAAGAGAGAAACGTGCCAAGAGGAAGGCGCGTCAAGCCAACCCCGACTGGGACCGCCTTCCACCTGGTAACCGATGCCCTCACTGTGGGAGAAGATGCAGATAAAGAACAGGGCTCCACAGTCACCTACAAACCCTCCGCCAGGGCACTACACTTGGAGGACCATCATCCTTGGACTACGAGGGATTCCCTAAGAAGAAGATATATTTGTGTATATGTATATATATGTGTGTGGTTTTGTGCATGCGTTGTAATGTATATATCTTTTTGATTTTTAAGTCTCTTCTGCTGTGTTTTTCAGTGTTTTTATGAGTGATAGTCACTGGTTGGCCGAATACGTGTATTGTGTCCAAATTTGGTATCAATTCGCCCAGTGGTTTTTTTAGTTATGTTAATCCCACAAACGAACATTACATTTTTATTTATATAGATTAGCATGAAGAACAAGTCATCCGTTCCGAATAATTAAAGAACACAAGTTCCTGTAAAAATGTAATAAATAGTATCTTGATTGTAAGTCTTGATACTCCATGGACATCAATAAAAGAAAACAGTAACCAATTGTTTTTTAAATTACTGATGAACAAATCCACTACAGTAAGCAACCTCCCCACCCCCAAATTAAAAGAGCTTTAAATTAAAACCTGAAGTAATGAGTCCCCCCACTGAATCCAGCTCAAACAACTCAAGCACCTCTTCCCACGAGATTCTGTAGACACATTCAGATCCTCAGCTGGATCTAGATCTTCCAAGCCTTAGAGACTTTACATATGTATACACAGAAGGGTCTTCTCCTATCTCCATGACCTCAAAATCCACACATCAGTTGTTGAAATTACTATATACTATACCAAATTCATCAGAATAGAGAGTTAGACACATCTGTCTATACATATAAAAGTCCAAAGTCAGTCTGTCTAACACACCTATACCTATAACTCTTGCAATCCAAATTAATGGAGAATGGGAGACTCGTAAAGATTCAACAGGATGTTATTATTACAGCAAAGGAACACAGGAAAGAACCTGGAAACCACCACACTTGACTCGGGATCCAAGCATAAGTAAAGGAGACACTTTGAACCAAGCAGATCATGAGTGGATAAAACATGTAGATGAACAAGGTCGGTCATACTACTACAATGCAGACGGATCTCGATCAGAATGGGATTTTTAAAAATTAAATTTAAGGGCATCGGGATTGTGGCGCAGCTGGCTGAGTGTCAGCTGCATTAAGATCACTCTGACCAAAAGGTCAGGAGTTCGAAGCCAGCCCGGGTTAGAGTGGGTTTCCAACCAATTGTGTGTAGCCTGCAGTTGACCTTTGCAACCCGAAAAACAGTTGCATCTGTCAAGTAGGAAAATAAGCTACCACCTTAAATTGTCGGGAGGCTAAATTAACTGATTTATGAGGCCATAAAGAAGACTCCAGCAAAGCATTCCAGCGGGGAAGCATGCGGGGAATGCGGAAGTGCTTCATCAGCGTCGCAGATGGATGATGAAAGCGACAGCTTCCCTGGTGGCCAGAAAAAGTTAAATAGCCTCTGCGTATGTCTGTATATGTTTGTATGTCAAAAATTGGCATTGAATGTTTGCCATATATGTGTACACTGTAATCCGCCCTGAGTCCCCTGCGGGGTGAGAAGGGTGGAATATAAAAACTGTTAATAAATAAATAAATAAATAAATAAATCTGTCCGTCTGTCTATACCAAAAGGACTGTTGCCCTCTGTGATGACACTGGGAAAGAAAGGTGACATGTGTATGAGGGGAAGGGAGGAAGGAAAAAAAGAGACACAAGGAAAGGAGGAAAGGTATGAGGAGAGGGGAAGAAAGAAAGAAGGAATGAAAGCAGGACAGTGGGCCCTCCAACACCCAGGAAATGCTGGGTATATACACGAGTTTAAAATAAATTTCAAGGACATATTGCATTGTATTTTGTGAAGAAAAATCAATTTCTTTTTTTAATCCTGTGGAATAGAGGGAGTAGAAGTCTCCAACCATAGGATTGAACACACTGCAAAAGTATGAATTTTGACATTATGGAAATGGCAGAGAAATGCTTATAGAAATGGGCCAACGAGCACCTTGCAACAAAATGAGATGTAAATGGGAGAGATCAGAAGCTACCACACAGATCTGAGAGACGAGAGACAGAGAGCCCTCTCTCCATAGCACTATCATAGTCAGAGTAACTAAAAACAAACTAGGGAACTAGAATCACTAGAATCAAGAACTAGAATCAAGACCAATAAACAAATATTTAATGTATTTATATATAAACGTCAGGAGAAATGCCTCTAGAACATGGCTCTATAGCCCGAAAAAACCCACAAGAACCTAAACAAATATTTTTTGGATCACACTTCAGGATTTGTACAGCCTTCCTCTGTTTTTTCTAGGAGTCATGTCAAGAGGGCTGGAAATGGCTACTGAGGCTGCGCACTGTATAAATAGTGCCTCGGAAGGTCTAACAAAGGGCCCATTGTACAAATGCAATGGCACAGCAGAGTCAACAACTCAGAATGCTGCTTGCTATGCATCAAGAGTTTAGTCTATTGTGCATCTTACTGAAATGTAGAGAGGTTTTAAGATAACTAAACCCACTTTGTTCTGTGTAGCATTATGTGTTATGTATTGTCGAAGGCTTTCATGGCCGGAATCACTGGGTTGTTGTAGGTTTTTTCGGGCTATATGGCCATGGTCTAGAGGCATTCTCCTGACGTTTCGCCTGCATCTATGGCAAGCATCCTCAGAGGTAGTGAGGTCTGTTGGAACTAGGAAAAAGGGTTTATATATCTGTGGAATGACCAGGGTGAGACAAAGGACTCTTGTCTGCTGGAGCTAGGTGTGAATGTTTCAACTGACCACCTTGATTATCATACAATGGCCTGACTGTGCCTGGGGCAAACTTTTGTTGAGAGGTAATTAGATGTCCCTGCCTGCTTCCTCTCTGTTGTTGTGCTGTTGTAATTTTAGAGTTTTTTAATACTGGTAGCCAGATTTTGTTCATTTTCATGGTTTCCTCCTTTCTGTTGAAATTGTCCACATGCTTGTGGATTTCAATGGCTTCTCTGTGTAGTCTGACATGGTGGTTGTGAGAGTGGTCCAGCATTTCTGTGTTCTCAAATAAAATGCTGTGTCCAGGTTGGTTCATCAGGTGCTCTGCTATGGCTGACTTCTCTGGTTGAATTAGTCTGCAGTGCCTTTCATGTTTCAGCATAGTGATTAGTGTCTATTTGTCTGTGTATTTTTGTTTTTGTCTGTTATTGTTGATATGGTCAGTGGACTAATCTATAAACAGAGCTATCTATCTTAGCATAAGCAGAGCAGTAACCCTGATTCTGCACCAACAGCATAACAATTGTACAAGAGCAGCGGAGCAATGCAGCCTTATTTACTTGGGAGTATTTATACTCTTCCGGGGAGCGGCATGAGCTTTTGCTGTCAGCCCCAGCTTCTGCCAACCTAGCAGTATGAAAATATGGAAATGTGAGTAGATCAATAGGTACCGCTCCGGCGGGAAGGTAAGGGCACTCCATACAGTCATGCCAGCCACATGACTTTGGAGGTGTCTACGGACAACGCCGGGTCTTCGGCTTAGGAATGGAGATGAGCACCACCACCCCAGAGTCGGACATGATTGAACTTAATGTCAGGGGAAAACCTTTACCTTTACTATTATATAAGTAAAATTAAATAGAAATTCTGATAACTTTGGACACAAGCTTCAGCTTAACACCTTTGCTTAAATTGTAGCAATTTTGAAACTTAACATAAAAATGAAATTACAGTGCTAGATAGATTTACTAGATACTTTTATAAATTTCTAAAATAATGGCTCCTAAGTGAAAGATACTGGCTCTCAGTTTCACAACATATTATCTAGGTTGCAAAATTCAACAATCATGCACCCAGACAACTTGCTTCTTATGTTATGACCACAGCCTATCAACACTAGAACTTAGAAATTCAATTACTATCACATCCAAAAATTGACACACTGCAGAAACACAAATAATAATAAAGCTTTATTAATATTCCACTCTATCTCCCCAAAGAGACTCAAAGCAAATTATTTCAACATATTACCTCTTTCATGTACTGGTTATACAAAGCCTCTGCAGATTCCAAATATGGCTGTGCTGTCTTAATGTCCTCTCTTTCTGACCAGAGGATACCCAGATTATTCTACAAAATAAGGAAAGATTAAATTGTTATTTTAAAAGGCATCATACAAAGAAAATGAAATCCTACAAGGGGTGGAAAATGAAAGCTACACTTCAGGAAAATATGAGAGTTATGCTGGAAAAGGTGGTGAAATTGAAAAGAATATTAAATTTTTACCATCTCCTGGGATAACAAGGCCCATGATTTCGAAATGATTAATCTAATCTGGTCAAGTACTAGAACAAATTTCACATTTCTCCAAAACCATATACAGCAGGAATGGGGACAGTATAGATGGCAGGATGCATACAAAACATAGGCTCTTTTATGTTCTCTGAACCCCCCTAAAAACCAATTCCCAAACTCAAGGTCAATGCCTACCAACCCTTCTTGTTTTTTCTGTTGGTTATGGAAGTCCTGTGTGCCTGTTTGGTTCAATTCCATCATTGGTTGAGTTCAGAATGTAATGAACTATAAATCCCAGCAACTACAACTCCCAAATGAGAAAATCAATTTTTTTGAGAGATGGTCACTCCTTGGGTTAGTAGGTGTCTTGTGGCCAAATTTGGTAGCAATTTGTCCAGTGGTTTTCGAGTTATGCTAATCCCACAAATGAACATCTGGAGAGGCCCTGCTCATGATCTCACCTGCGTCGCAGGCACGTTTGGTGGGGACGAGGGACAGGGCCTTCTCTGTGGTGGCCCCCCGACTCTGGAACTCTCTCCCCAAGGACATCAGCCAAGCCCCAATGGTGACAGTCTTCAGGAAGAGCCTGAAGACCTGGCTGTTCCAGGGTGCCTTCCCAGAATAGGAAACTCCTAGCATCAAGTCCCAAATGCACTTTGATAGTGATTCAGGATTATCAGCACATTGCACCTACCTCCAAATACCTCTATATATTACCTGTCAAGTTCAGCACTTTTAAATTTTGTCTATTACATTTGGCCCGGTCTTTAGGTTTTAATTGCGTCACCGTGTCATCGTTTTACTGTTTTATTGTTTTGCTTGATGTTTATTATTTGCTTATGAGTTTTATTGTGTATTGTATGTTGTTATTGTCAGCGGCCTTGGCCTTTGTAAGCCGCATCGAGTCCTTCGGGAGATTTTGCGGGCTATAAATAAAGTTAATAATAATAATAATAATAATAATAATAGGAGTATGGCTATCAGTCAGCTAGTTAGTAGTGCTGTGATCAGTGGCAGCGACCCATGGGGGAGATTATGTTGGGATATAATAAAGTATTTATTATTATTATTATTATATATGGTCAGGAACCCTGTTTTGGATGTATATCAATCTTAGCACATAAAAAGTGGGCTTATGAAAAAAGTGATGGTGGCACAATCCAACTATTTTTATTATCCAACTAGCTGTCCCCTGCCATGCGTTGCTGTGGCCCAGTCTGGTGATCTGGAAAATAAAGTAATGAGAAAGTGTTGGTTTCTAATATATGTAATTTCTTTATGCTTGTGGGTAAACAGTATTTCTTGTTGTTTCTTTGTCAGTGTTGATGTAGAGATTGTCTGGTTTGCCTACTCTGGAACATACAACATATCATTGTCCTTCTTTAGGGGTCCCTTTCAAATCTATGACACTATATTTGTGTGTGTGAATCATATCTATCTATCTATCTATCTATCTATCTATCTATCTATCTATCTATATCTATGACTGGATGGCTCTTTGTCAGGAGGTTGATTACGTTTTCTTGCCCTGGTGAAGGGAGTTGGATTGGATGGCCTTGAGTATTTTCTGTTGGTCATGGGGATTCTGTGCGGGAAGTCTGGCCCAATTCTGTCGTTGGTGGGGTTCATAATGCTCTTTGATTGTAGGTGAACTATAAATCCCAGTAACTACAACTCCCAAATGTCAAATCAGAAGACCCTTACTTCTTGGGAGGAGAGCAATGTCCAGTCTCGATAAAATAGTGAAGAGTAGAGACATCAGACTGGCAACAAAGATCCATTGCCTAGTCAAAGCCATGGTATTCCCTGTAGTCACCTACGGATGTGAGAGCTGGACCTTAGGGAAGGCTGAGCGAAGGAAGATCGATGCTTTTGAGCTGTGGTGTTGGAGGATAAGTTCTGAGAGTGCCTTGGACTGCGAGAAGATCCAACCAGTCCATCCTCCAGGAAATAAAGCCCGACTGCTCACTGGAGGGAAAGATACTAGAGACAAAGTTGAAGTACTTTGGCCACATCATGAGAAGAAAGGAAAGCTTGGAGAAGACAATTATGCTGGGGAAAGTGGAAGGAAAAAGAAGAGGGGCCGACCAAGGGCAAGATGGATGGATGGCATCCTTGAAGTGACTGGACTGACCTTGAAGGAGCTGGGGGTGGTGACGGCCGACAGGGAGCTCTGCCGTAGGCTGGTCCATGAGGTCATGAAGAGTCGGAGACGACTGAACGAATGAACAACAACAAAAGAGGAAAAAATTTGAGTGAAGGACATACATTGGGTTGTTAGGTGTCTTGTGTCCAAATTTGGTGTCAATTCCCCCAGTGATTTTTGAGTTCTGTTGGTAGCACGACCAAACATTACATTTTTATTTATATAGAAGATTATTATTTTGGTCACAAACCTTTTAGATAAGGGGTATTCAATCTTAGCACATATAAAGTGTGCTTATGAAAAAAGTGATGGTGGCTCAATCCAGCTACAGAGATTGTTTAAATATAGAAATAGAATACATTTCTGTGTTTTAAGCTCTTTTGGGTATGCTCCCCCCCTCTGTAATGTAGCCATCTGTTGTTCTGTGACGTCACCACGCGCGCCCTTAGTGACGCCACCGCGCTCTTCCCTCCCTCCCCCGCCCGTCCCACCTGGGCCTGGATGTAGAGGGAGACGCAGTCTCGCGAGAGGCGGTGCCGCTCCAGCAGCTGGAGGCACTTGGCCAGGTGCTCCTCTCCGGCCGAGCGTTCCTGCGTGTCTGTGTGGTTCATCCCCAGCTCGTACTCCACCGCCGCCAGCCGCGCGGCACGCATGCGCTCTTCCTCAGCGCCCTCCTCCGCAGGGCCGCCCTCGGCCTCGCCAACCTCCTCCGAGCCCAGCGACTGCTTGATGCCTTCGAGCAGCTCCCGGGCGCTGTACTTGGAGCGGTACGGCTCGGTCTCCGGGTCCTTCTTGGACTCCACGTAGGAGAGGTTGAGGGCGTTGCGGAACTTCTCGCACAGTGAAGCCCACTCGGCCGGCGCCGCCATTTTGTCCGCCTCTCCCTCAGCGCGTCTCCAGGGTTTCTAACCCGACCGTCGACTGGCGCGCATGCGCAGTCAGGGAGCGCGCCAGAGAACGTCCTCTTGGCTCCCTTCCCTCCGTTACAGCCTCCTTCCACGCTTTTCAGTTGTTGTTCAGTCGTTTAGTCGTTTCCGACTCTTCATAATCTCATGGACCAGCCTCCCTGTCGGCCGTCACCACCCCCAGCTCCTTTAAAGTCCAGCTAGTCAGTTCAAGGATCCCATCCATCCATCTTGCCCTCATGGACCAGCCCAAGCCAGAGCTCCCTGTCAGCCGTCACCACCCACAGCTCCTTCAAGGTCAAGCCAGTCAGTTCAAGGATGCCATCCATCCATCTTGCCCTCATGGACCAGCCCAAGCCAGGGCTCCCTGTCGACTGTCACCACCCCCAGCGCCTTCAAGGTCAAGCAAGTCAATTCAAGGATCCCATCCATCTTGCCCAAGCCAGTGCTCCCTGTCAGCCGTCACCACCCCCAGCTCCTTCAAGGTCAAGCCAGTCAGTTCAAGGATGCCATCCATCCATCTTGCCCTCATGGACCAGCCCAAGCCAGAGCTCCCTGTTAGAATCAAAGAGTTGGAAGAGACCTCATGGGCCATCCAGTCCAACCCCCTGACAAGAAGCAGGAACATTGCATTCAAATCACCCCTGACAGATGGCCATCCAGCTCCTTAAGCCGCTCCTCATAGGGTTCGTTCTCCAGTTCTCCAGACCCTTGATCATTCTAGTTGCCCTCCTCTGTACACATTCCAGCTTATCAATATCAAGCTGGAATGTGGGGCCATCACCACCCCCAGCTCCTTCAAGGTCAAGCCAGTCAATTCAAGGATCCCATCCATCCATCTTGCCTTTGGTCGACCCCTCTTCCTTTTTCCTTCCATATTCCCCAGCATCATTGTCTGGAGAACAAGCCCTGTGAGGAGCAGCTTAAGGAGCTGGGCATGTTGAGCCTGAAGAAGAGAAGGCTGAGAGGAGACATGATAGCCATGTATAAATATGTGAGAGGAAGCCACAGGGAGGAGGGAGCAAGCTTGTTTTCTGCTTCCCTAGAGACTAGGACGCAGAACAATGGCTTCAAACTACAAGAAAGGAGATTCCACCTGAACACGAGGAAGAACTTCCTGACTGTGAGAGCTGTTCATCAGTGGAACTCTCTGCCCTGGAGTGTGGTGGAGGCTCCTTCTTTGGAGGTTTTTAAACAGAGGCTGGATGGCCATCTGTCAGGGGTGCTTTGAATGCAATATTCCTGCTTCTTGGCAGGGGGTTGGACTGGATGACCCATGAGGTCTTTTCCAACTCTAGGATTCTATGATTCTATTGTCTTCTCTAAGCTTTCCCTTCTTCCTTCTTCTCATGATGTGGCCGCTGGGCATCTTACATAACCAGTTGTTTCTACTTAATGTGAATGTGGCAGTTTTTTTTTGATATGTGTATTTGTAATATATACATTGAGTTAATTTAGTTATTTTCATATTACCACAATCAGTGGGTTTTGGTCTCCATAGTTTCAGGGTAACCCATTTTTCTTTTTGGCATCATGGGTATCTGCCAGGTGTTGGATTCCTTCAGCCTTCTTTGTCCACCAGATGTTATTGAGTTCTCTTGTCCTTCTTTGGACCTCAGCTTTTGCACTGACGTAGATCTTTTTCTTAGCAGCACAGTTGATATCTCTCTGCCATGTTTGGAAGGCTTTCCTTTTCTTGTCAGTTAGCTGTTGGATCTCGTCATTTTCATCAAACCAATCTTTATGTTTCTTGGTTTGATATCCAGTAGTTTCTTCGCAGGCTGTGATGATGGAGGTCTTTAGTTTGTTCCAATGTTCCTCAACATTTTCAGGGTGTTCTATGGGTAGATGGTCCTTGAGTGCTGTTTGGAGATGGGCTCGTTTGGAGGGCTTCTGAAGGGCTTGGGTGTTCATTTAGCACCGTGTCTTTCTTCCTTGGAGTTTGTGCTTGGGGGCGATCTTGTTAGCCATCGTGGATTGGATTAGCCTGTGATCTGTCCAGCAGTTGTCAGCACCTGTCATGGCTCTTATAAGAAGCACGTCACAGCCGTCTCTGGCCCGTGTGATTACGTAGTCTAAGAGGTGCCAATGCTTTGACCGGGGGTGCTTCCATGATGTCTTGAACTTGTTTTTCTGGTGGAAGAGCATGTTGGTGATGACAAGGTTGTGTTCCACACAATGCCATTCGAGTTGCTGTTTCCAACCCCGTCTTTTTTCTATGGTCCCTGGCCACAGGTCGAAGTCTTGCCCAACTTTTGCATTAAAATTCCTCAGGAGGATGATTTTGTCCTCCTTAGGTATCTCTGATAGGACGGTGTTCAGCTGACAGTAAAAATTTTCCTTGATGTTCTAATCAGCATCTAGTGTTAGTGCATAGGCACTTATGATGGTTGCCTGTTGGTTTTTGGCAAATTCAGTTCGGAGGGTTGAGAGTCATTCATTGATGCCAGTGGGTGCTTCGGTCAGATGTTTCACCAGGTCATTTCTGATAGCAAAGCCAACTCCGTGCATTCTTTAGTCTTAATCAGTCAGGCTCTTCCAGAAGAACATCTCTCTTCCAACAAACAGTAGGCAGGTGTTTGCATGTCTGCAATCTGTGTGGTCCCAAAGTCTAAAAAGTCTGTACTCTGCTGGTTCCAGAGCGGATCATGTGGTCTGCAGCCCCTCCCACAACTTCTCAGGAGAAACATAGAGCAAGAAAAGAAAGTTGCATATCAGAGCATACATACAATATCTATAAGCAACAAGCTTATTGTAAAGGAGACCGTTTTAATGCCACCGAATGCCACCAAATGTGAAGGTGCGAGTGGTAAAACACCCACTGCCACCTAATCTATGAGGGAAGCCAGGCAACGCTCAATATCAACCTAGGAGCTATTTTATAGAGGGACTGTTAATTACAGAAGGCTTTATTTATTTGATAGTGTAGCATTTACTTTCCTGGCTTGACTTTACTATTGCAGGCTGTTCAACTTAGGAGAAATTGTATCAGGCAAGGCTTGAGGAGAACAGTAACAAGTTTATTTTAACAGGAGTATAACATGTTTAACTGTTTCTTCAAGAGAGGCACAAATCTTGATGGTTACATTGGAAAGGTTTCATGAGTAATATCAGGCACAGACTTCAAAACGTTTCACAGCAGGCACAGCAGGCTTAAACCTAGCCAAACCTTGATTCTTAATTCAGAATCAACAACCCCCTGTAGCTCTCTCACTACCAGGTCCTTCTCTGCAACCACTTTGGTCACCAATTGATTCCCTGAATCCCCACCCTGACATGCAGTCTTTCCTTAGCACACCGGTTACAGACACATTTCCTGAATCTCCACCTAGAGACTCAGTCCTCTCAGTAGCTCTCCTGCCACTGACTGACTTTTAAAACAGCTGCCTCCTGAAGAGGCAGTTGGCTCCGCCCCTGTTGCTACGGCAACTTAGCTAACGCCAAGCCACCATCTCCAACAAAACATAATCTCCCATACTTACCATCCCTAAACCACTATCCAAACTACACATAACCAAAGAAATAAAACTTACACATCGTCACACTTATAGATAAACCAATTGCTAGAAGAGGATTGAAGAAGATACAGAGGGCCAACAATTATTTTTGTACATAGTGGTGGTGCAAGTGTGCAAAAAGAAATTGCAAATCTTGGACTATGGCTCAACATCTCAAAAACAGTACATAGCAAAGCCAACTCCGTGCCTTCTTTGGTCTTCATCAGGCAGTCCCTTCCAGAAGAACATCTCTTATAATAAACAGCAGGCAAATGTTTGCAAGTCTGCAATCTGTGTGGTCCGGAAAAAGTCTGTACTCTGCTGGTTCCAGAGCGGATCATGTGGTCTGCAGCCCCTCCCACAACTTCTCCATCAATATAAATGGAAGACCTCGGCAAACTCACCAGATTAAATACCTCGGCTCAAAAATCACCTCCAACAGAGTTACAAACTGGGTAGGTGCAGGGAATGCCATGAATGTAAGCATATCTGGATTTCAGTAAGGCTTTCAACAAGGTCCCCCATGACCACCTGGCATTTCAGTGGGAGGTGTGTGTCTGCTTTTGGCAAATGAGATCGGATTGTTGTTGTGTGCTTTCAAGTCATTTCAGACTTAGGCTGACCCTGAGTGAGGGCCAGGTAAATGACCTTGGAGGGCCACATCCGGCCCTCGGGCCTTAGTTTGAGGACCCCTGCTCTAAATGTATTACTATAAGAGCTTGTAGCAAACGTGGTAACTGTAGCAGTACTAGGTTCGGTCTTGGGTTTATTATGCTAGTGACCTGGTGTGGTGTAATGGCTTGAGCACCGGATTATGACTGGATAACAGGGTTCAAATTCCTCCTTGCCCAGGAAATTCACTATGCAAGTCATATTATCTGTCTCATCTAAACAAATCTTGCTAGGTCAGAAATGACTTGAAGACACAGCAACAATGAAACACCAATCCTAATATTTGTCAACATGAGTTTTGCAATCAGACAAAACCAAACTAAAAAAAGAAAACACACAAGGAAATTGTAAATCAATTTTTACTGTTGTTAAAACATCCTTTATATTTGACAGTTGCAAATGATCAAAAAAGCCCGGTCAAAAGCTTCGTTTTTGGCCCCTGTTTCTGAATCTGTCACGCCTGTTGGAGTCACCACCGCGTCTTCCATTTCTGAAATTAGAGCCCCCTCCGCCCCCTCTTCTGTTCCTGAAGTCAGGTTTGCCGCCGCCGCCTCGGCCAGGCTCCTTGAGTGATTCTTCAAGCTCAGGTAATTCTGTTGCCACAGAGAGTTGCCAGCGCCTTGAATCCTGCCAGGTTTGCTGATTAAAACAAAAAGCACCGTGTCATCCGAGGCCCCATCTACACTGCCATATAATGCAGCTTCAGAATGAAGTTTAGCTGCATTTAACTGCATTATATTAGTCACCCTGTGCTGTGACCCATAAGGAAATGAGGTTAGATTGGATGGGGAAAAGAGAAACCTTTTATGGCATGCTGGTGCCTGGAGTACTACATGATTCCTATCCTTTGGT